GATGCACACACCACGAGGGCCGCGCACATTGTCTGAGTTTCCTGAAGAAATCTAGGCCTCAAGGATGAAGACCAAATATGCCATTGTCTTCATCTTCATCGTGGCCCTGGTCATCATCGAGAAGGAAAGCAACATCATCTCCAGGTGAGAAGGCCACTGTGACCGAGTGGGTGCTGTCCCATCGCTCCACATGTCTCTGTTTTAACAACCTCAAACAAACATGTCATTTTTTCCATCTAAGTTCAAATCGTCCATTTCAAATACTGCATTCTGTTAATTAAAACACCAAACATCCATCCATCCATCCATTTTCTACCCGTTAATCCATTTCTGGGTTGGGGGGGGGCAGAGATGCCACCCAGTACTCATAGCACCAGCCCCACTCCTTCAGATGCCATTGTAGCCACTCCGCTACACTCCCTCACAGCTCAAATGTTTATTATGTTCTGAGAAAAAGGGGAGTGTTGGGACTGATGAAGAGGAGGCTGATGGATCTGCTGCTGCAGAGGGAGTATACAGTATGTGTGAACACTGTAATCCAAGCTGTGCCCTCTGCTCCGAGAGTATTCACGCCCAACTGTGGTTCCATCTCAGCACTATGTCATAGCTCACGTCATCACAACAAAGGACTGACACAGCAGCAGATTAAAGAAGCAAACAGGTTTAAAATGCAGTCCAAAGGCCAGTTCTTATGCTGATCTTTGTGGATGAAACAAAAAGTTAGTAAAAGTGCAGAATATTTGACGTGTAGGTCTGTTAGTGAGGATGACAACAGAGATAACATGTTGGTTTTGAATACAAGAGTGTTTTAATTTGAGGAGACATAATCGAATTTTTATTTGTGTCCCCAGATAACAGCTCACATGGACAAAGCATAGTTTAACTTTTCTGAACAATATTGGAAAAAATACTAAACAAGCAAATTATACAATCAGAGAGCAGAATGAGGCCGTAATGGGTCACCAATTTGTTGACATTTTGCTGTTTTTTATATATAACAAAATTGAAACAGCCATGTAACACACACTGTTCTGTTTCTCAGTAGGTGGATTGCATCAGTAATCAGTGCTTATGAGCTCCATGGGTCTGTGGGAGCGGATCCCACTCTCAATGTGGCCTCCCCAACGTGGACATTGGTCTTCCCACTCCCTATGGCTTTGTTATTATTGCTATGCATGTGTTCCAACTGTTTGACTCTCTGATCTGTTACAACTTTGTAATGTCCTCTGTGGTGATTTACAGAAATACATTGAATTTAATTTAAATTTCTGCATTTTTGACATCTTTTTGACTGACTTATGAGTTGGGGTAGGTTTCACAAAATCATGTTTTGAATGGCCCAAAGTTACATAACTCAATTAAACTAACAAACTGAATTGTAATACAAATAATCCAATAACAGCACATGTAAATGAAATGAAATATTTGTATGCAGGAAGAATAAAAAGGCAACATATGTACTTCATCAGTGTGAGGATAATTGATCCAATGGGACAGAGAGTGCATTGTGGGCCATGAATTCTAATGATGAAGTGCAGAAAGACGAGGCGTTCGCTCCACAGGGAAAGCTTCTATAGGATTCATGTCGGAGAAGGACACAGATGAAGACTTAGCATCAGCGGGGGCCAGAATTACATGTTCCACTGACTCGGCTAATGTTATCCAACTCAGACGGAGAAAACAAAAAGCACAAAAATATCAACTCCATCATTATCGGTTTGTAGGAACTCAAGGAAAATAAAGTTATTGCAAATTACGCTGTCGGCAGAGTTAAAAATGGGTGTTAAGTGATTCAATTGGACATGATTTATGACCACAGAGATGCATGATGTTTAAGAAGCCATAATGTCAATAAATTGTATTTCTTAGGGGCCTTACTAGATACTCAAGGTTGCCATTCAAACAAGTAAAAAGGACATTGTAAATGAGTGAAGAGTACAATGGATTTAAATGTAAGGCATATTCTCACAGTTAGCACAAATAACTTTTTTTCTAATAGAAGTACTGCCACCAACTTCTTTACAGTATAGCATTATCCATATCCCTCTTGTATTCATGTACGAGGATTGTTACATTTTAAAATATCCTCAACTGTGGTGTATGTTATACAGTACAATATGAATGATGCTCTACAGCTCAATTATTTGGAGTAATTTGATTCTATTGATAAATGCTATAGAAATATAGTTCTACGCTGGTTTATACAAACTTCAGAAAATTAAAGGCCTAGTGGAGATATGGTGGCCCAAAAACCCTAAAAGGCATTCAAAACTCTTAGAGATCCAATGTAATGCAGGACAAATGGGTTTTGTTCTTCTTTTTATATATTATTTTCAGCCAATTTATAAAATTTAACCTTAAAACTCCTTGAAATATGAATGATCAAAATAAAGATGTAGCAATCTTATTTCAGCCAAAATAAACTTAGGAATCAGGACCAGTTTCAACTCCAAACTAACAGAAAAATATTCCAAACGTTTACAAAAAAGGGATTTTATATGAATTGTAACTGGACTTTGAGTTAATGCTCTCGTCTCATTTTCAGATAAATGTTCCTCAGCGGTGAAAGAGGAATGGTTCAAAACAAAAACAATGCATAATATGTTACGTAGCCCAGAGAAGGCAAGTAAACAAATACTCTTACTTAAGCATCCTAAGTAAGAGTACTATAGTGTACTATAGTGTATGTCATAATTGTTTTCAACGAGTTTCATTGGTCAACGTTTTAATTCCAATACATAAAACTAATCATTTTGCCATCTCTGCTTATTTGACATGACCAAACCTGGAGCCAAACAGTTATTTTTCAAACTAATATTCTTGCACATATACAACTGTAACTGTTTGTGGTTTGCAGGGTGTCAGACAAATTGATCCAGAGACAGAACCCCTCGCAGACCCCGCAGACCCCTCTGGACTACAACAACACCAACGGAGCCCTGAACATACTAAAACTCCTCCTCTCCAAACTCACCAACGGGAACTTCTCCAACCTCCCTGACGACCCGCGCCCTGAGGGATGGCTCAGATCCAGCCTCAGCGGCGGTCAAAAGCACGTCCTCCTCCTGGCCACCACCCGCACTGGCTCCTCGTTCGTGGGCGAGTTCTTCAACCAGCATGGCGAAGGCATGTTCTACCTGTTCGAGCCGCTGTGGCACGTGGAGCGTATGTTGGCGAGCGCGGCCGAAGGGAACAACGGGACCGTGTTGGGAGGGATCTACCGGGACGTCCTGCGCGGGCTGTTTGCATGCGATTTCGAGCCCTTGGAGAGGTTCATCTCGCCTTCGCCTCAAGAGCACGTGACAGCAGCGTTGTTCAGGAGGGAGTCCAGTCTGTCGCTGTGTGAAGAGCCGGTGTGTACGGCGCCGGTCAAGGACGTGTTCGAGAGGTGAGGCCCACACTCGTTATGGTCGTGTAGATGGGGCTGTCACGGAAACCAAAAACATGATAATATAGAGGGTAGGGCTGTAAGTTCATTGATAAATCTGGCCATACCTGCATGTGAAAACCAGATCCCATCAGACCTCTGAAGCTAAGCAGGGCCGGACCTGCTTAGTACTGTGATGGGAGACCTCTGGGACAACCAGGTGCCACAGTGGGGCGGCTGTAGCCTTAGCCATCTGTACACTCCGGTCAATCATCATTTCCCTGCATGTAACGTCTGGGTCTGGTCCAGTGGGGGCGGGTCCCGGCTCAAAAGTGGCCAAAATGACGTGCGCTGACATGCTTGCAATACCACCTCTGGCCGATGGGGGTGGACCCAGAAGAAGAATTAGCCAATGCTAACATATAGCATCTGGAAAACATCTTTACAGGATGGTCCAAAAGTTGGCTCTTGGCCCAAAGCTCCGTTCCACATGTGTGTCAATGCTGAGGGGGGTGAATTTTTTTGGACCACTCTAGTTTACTTGCTGTGAATTTTTGAAGTCTCTCGTTCAAATGAATGGGGCTCTTGCCAGCTGACGCATGCGCAGATGCGTTTTTTTCTTGAGGGCGGGACCACTCGCAGCCATTTTGGATAGCTCCAGTAGAGCACTATTTTTGGCCCATTAGTTAGAACGGCGGAGATATTAACGGACAGGCGTGACTCTGTCCGTTAATATATACAGTCTATGGTCTGGTCCCTGTGTTTGCGATTACATTGGTTAAATTCCACCTGACCAATCAGCGAGCGCAGGAGGCGGGTGTTGTTGTCAGATGTGGATGATATCAAGATGGGGCAAGTTGAAATTTGGTAATGGCGAAGAATGCAATACTGAAGTAATCCGGTCTGGTTCTATAAAGAAATTGAAGACGCAGAAAGAGGGATGTTTAGCAAATGGAATCGCTGGCAAAGCTGTGCTACTCCCCACAGGCTCCGTTAGCAGCAAAGGAGATGGCTCGGTTAAATGCTAAATGCTAACGACTCACTAGGGCGCATTATATACGTCACGGTAAACTCAGATCCGATCGTTTCGATCTGCAAAAGGAGTTAACCCCTCCCACCTGTTAACGGAGCTCAACAGAGCACATCCAGACTTTAGTATGAAATGTAATTTCTACTATGGTGTGGTACGACCAGGCTAGGGCGGCTGTGGTCCTTAGGCAAGACACTTCACTCACATTGCCTAGAATGAGTCTGGTGTGAGTGTGAATGGTTGGTTGTGGTCGGCACTGGTTGCCTCGCTTCTGTCACTGTACCCCACGGCAGCTGAAGCTACAATAGTAGTTTATCACCATCGTGTATGGAGTGAAAGAATAGTATATGAAGCACCTTTGAGTATCCGAAAATGTGCCATACAAAACCAATGCATTATCATCTTAACTAATTGATTACTTAAAACATTGTCAATTCATTTAGAAAACTTAATTACATTCATGGTTTTTAAACGTAACATCGACTTAACATACTTAAAAAAAAATCCTTAATAAAATCCACTAGCCACTCATGCACAGTGGATTGCTGAGTCTGTGTATGTAGTCAGTTAGCAGCAAACACAACTAACACTGGTTCTTTGTATGAATTTAAAAAAAACAAAAGCAAAAAGGGGCATAAGGGGTTCCTGATGTGAAAGACAGTAGAGAGCGACATAAAACTAGAGTAGTGGAATACTTATTTTTTCAGAGAAGTGGGCTTTCCTCCTACATACCTTTAAGTAAACACAGTAATGTAATCTAAGCCCTCCCATGTCCAAGTGAAATAAGAGTGTGTTTTGTCAACTTGTTTCCAGTGCATATGGTACTGAGTCTTTCAAGTGATACTTCTCAAAGAGGAAGTGAGACCTCTTCTTCATGTAGATTGTATAGTTTGATACCCTCCCACACACGTGTACATAGATGAATGTAAGGCCTAAAAAGAATTCAATTTTACCCAGAGGGATTGAATTAAAGGGATAATGATGGCAACTGAAACCAGAAAATGCATAATTCACACCAAATGCGTCTCTCATAAAATGATGAGATGAGAAGTGCTTTGCTCCTTATTGCACAACGCCAATAAGGAGCTGGTTTCTACTTTCTTTGACTTCTGCTCTCAATCGTTGCATTGCTTCCGACCTGTGAAGCTGTGAGAACACCAGATGCCACAGGGGCAGCTGTGGCTGTAAAGTAGCAACCTATCGTTCTGTCCTTAGGCAAGACACTTCACCCACCTTGCCTAGAATGAGTCTGGTGTGTGGGTGAATGGTTGGTGGTGGTTGTAGGGTCCGATGGCAAATACTGGTTGCCTCATTTTCTCCCCAGGGCAGCTGTGGCTACAGCAGTAACTCACCACTGTGTATGGGGTGAATGAATAATGACATGTGAAGCGTCTTTGAGTGTCCAAAAAAATGCTATATAAAACTGATGCATTATTATTATTCTCTTCTTCTACAGTATATCAGACAAATGAAGGATAAAAATATTATTACCTTGACATGTCTCAACGGGAACTTCCATCTTTCTCAGAAGCGTTACGCAACGTCACACATGATGTGCCTTATCAGCTGATATTCCCAGGCTCATAACACCTAGACAACCTATGTGGTCAACCCGGCATATCTTCAAAGTGAACGTGTTACAATGAACATGCAGCATTTTTATCATGACCTGAACAGCTTTGCTCGTGCTCTGTGCAGATATCACTGCAAGACTCGTCGCTGCGGGCCCCTGAACCTGACCCTGGCCTCTGAGTCGTGCCGCTCCAAACAGCACCACACCATAAAGACAGTGCGGGTCCGGCAGCTCGACTCTCTGCAGCCCCTAGTGGAGGACCCTCACCTGGACATCAGGATCATCCAGCTAGTGCGGGACCCCCGAGCCATCCTGGCCTCCCGCATGGTGGCCTTCTCCTCCAAGTACCAGACATGGAAGACCTGGGCGCTGGACGGCCAGGTAATCATACTTTTTTTGGAGCCAGAGTTAGAGCAAAACTTAATGAGCACTTCCCTATTGGGCTTCACTGAGCAAGAAGGTTAGCATTTTCCATCTATGGGCCAAAACTCAATTTAAAGACATCTTAAAATTAGTTTCAGTTATTAGAGTTATTAGTTTCTGTGACTTATTCCTCACTTTCTAATGCAGAGGTCACATGTGGCCGTACACACAGTGGCACAGGCACACTTTTAGCAGAAATGTGTTTTATGCACAACAATAATTAAGAAATGTGCACAACACATAATAGCCGTGAGCTGCTATGTAGCAAGTCTAGGTCTGAGCCAGGACTGGACTAAGCCTGAAGGAGAGCCATCAGTGCTGTGTGGTGAACAAAAAATAGATTCAGCCAAAAAGAGGATAAATAACGTCTTAGTTAAAAAAAATAGCTATAATACTTGCTATGAATTTCATACACACACAAAAAACTTCTGCATACAATATTCGTTCAACCATATATAATAGTTCTCAAACCATTTGGGGATTTCAAAGCAGCTTTCAAAAGGTTGATGACTACTCTAATGCTTTCAGTTGTAATTATTCACTGCAATGAGTTTATACTCATGCTTTTTACAACTGAGTGCAAAATCCAAAATGTCTTTCATGTCTGTCTGGATGTAACCCTTCCACTGGTCATCTTCATCATCATTATTTACCTTTTCTCTCCAGGTGCCAGAGGACGACGAAGAGGTGAAGAGGCTAAAGGGAAACTGTGACCACATCCGTACATCTGCGGAGGTGGGACTGAGCCAACCTCGGTGGCTGAGGGGCCGCTACATGCTAGTGCGCTACGAGGACATAGCGCGCGAGCCCATGGACAAGGCCCGCGAGATGTACCAGTTCACGGGCATACCTTTCAGCGACAAGGCCCGGGACTGGATCGCCAAGAACACCCTGACCACCCAGGGGGCCAGTGGGATTTACTCCACCCAGAAGAACTCATCGGAGCAGGCCGAGAAGTGGCGGTTCAACATCCCATTCACGCTGGCGCGAGCGGTGCAGCGAGTGTGCGGGCCGACCATGAAGCTGTTCGGTTATAAGTTTGTCCATGACGAAAAGACACTGGTGAATAAGTCCATCAGTCTGCTGGAAGATAAGATCTTTTACTGATGCAAAACTGAAAAAAAAAAAATAAGGTCAACTCTTCGCTTTATCTTACAGCTGAACAGCTGAGTGTGTTTACAAGGCATAAGAATGCAAATGAAGTTTGGTGTTGCATCAAACCAGTCTGACCATGACTTTATGGTCTCGTCTACATGCAGGTTGTAAAATCCTGTTTACTTTGAGTATTTGTTTTTCACCCAGGCTCCACTGCAGCAGCATGAATCTCTGATTCTTCTTGCTTTTGCCTTATGTAATGAAACCAAAACAAAATGGTGAAACACGTGCCAAAAGAACGTATACTTTATTACAATTATTTGAATATGCGTCCAACATAAATGCATGGCTTTTCCCTGTGCTCTTAAATGCATCTGTTGGCCTTGTTTTAGTAGTATCCGGTTTGTCTGGTTACATGCGGTAACCGCAGTGTTGGGATGAATAAAATGGACAAAATGTCATTTCTCAATACTATATGGTATAAATTCAGTGAAAATCAAACATTTTCAACATTGTTTGGCTTCAGTTGTCAGTCCACAGCCATCATGAAATAATATTTTTGGTTGCTTTTATTAATCATGTTCATATATCATTAAAATAACGATTCTTAATGGTGTTCTAACAGTATTTCAGCCCTACCGTAGAGGAAATGGTTCAATGCAGTTACGCCAGATGGACAAGAATTGCTCACCTGACTGTTTTCACTAGTGCTTTGTAAACATACTCACTGTGTTAGACTGGGTTTTCTGTTCAAAAGCTGTGTAGTGGCTCGAGTGTGCGCATTAGAACCAAAGGGTTACTGGTTCACCGCTCACTCACACTGTCCGTAGGCTCCCGTGCCTTGCTGTTTGTCCATTTGATTTGCTGTAATATTAAGAGCTGACTACATAACAGAACAAGACTGAACTGTACAGCGACATCAAGTAATAACAATCTAAAGCATCTCCTCCTTGAATAATCACCCTTTACACTCCTTGCCAGTTGTCTTTAAAATCACTGGACAATTATAAGTAGATCTGTTTAAGAACCCTTTGGAGCACAAACCAATGGCTAGACATTTGGCCTCTGATGACTCTAGAGCAGCCATTCCCAAACTCAGTAACACCGAGGCCCCCTTAAAAATCTGACGGGTCTGCGTGGCCCCCCAAAATAATAACCAAGAAGACAGCATTAAGAATAGGCTCTTTTGGTTATTTTATTTTGGGGAAATAGCCTCTGCTACAAACATTGTAATACAAAAATGATTACAGTGGCTTATTCAAGTCAAATAATGAACACAAATATTTTAATATTACAAACAAAACATTATACATTTAACATTAAATAATTATATATATAGATATTTTTTTTTTATGACCTCCCGCGGCCCCCCTGCAGTACCCTCGCGGCCCACCAGGGGGCCGCGGACCCCACTTTGGGAGACACTGCTCTAGAGAATGACCAACATTTGGGTTTGAACTATTTCCCCTTTCACAGCTGAGGAACATGTAAAATGAAAACAGTTTAGAGGAGAATACAGATATGGAATGTCTAACAAGATAAAACACATTCTGTAAATCAAGAAAAGAAAGCTACTTTATAGAGATAGAGAGAAACACATCCACACAGCTTTTTTTTTTCTACACAGAGATTATGATATATGCCTCAATTGGGTTGATATTCTTGCAATTTGCCTAATCCAACTACCCCTTAATCTGTATGGAGTGATGGGGGTTTTCCTGGGGTGGGGAAAAGGAGTTTAGCTGTGAATGGCTTTCAGATAAATGATTAGGAAGTGTCTTGTTAAGGCCTTCAGTGCTACGAATATCAAAACTACTGCGCAGAACCTCAATTTTTCTCCCTTCCTTTTGGATATTTATTAAATTAAATGTGGCTTTACATTTTGTGGCATCACCCCAGCCCTTCACTCACCAATGCTGTGCCTCTATTGTCCTCATGTGTTTCATATTTATTTGATGTTCATAGCCAGGTCTGGTACTGAAGCTTTATGTGTATTTATGTGGCAGTGTGGTCAAAATTAGCCTAGTACTATATATATATTTGAGGGAAAAGCAGTAACTGTAGCTGCGTATGGTAGGACATGCAGGGAAAACAAACAGAGAAATGTTGTTATATGTTCAGTTGTCTTGAGTGTAAATTACAGTATATTTTAAATAGCGTGCCATAAATATAACAAAAGACTTTCATACAGCCATAGTTCAACAATATTTTACTTTATGTGATTCCAAAAAATTTTAACGAGCTGTGCTACATTTGTCCGATGTAACTTAAGCTACATTCAAACAACTGATTTTTAACGGTACACCTGTATATACTTCATATGTTTGTCTTAGGATGTTCATGTTTTTCATTAAAAACTATGTTCAGAAATCTATAGTTAGCAAACCCAAATGAACTGTATTGACGGTGCTGCAGTATTGTGGTCAGTGTGTGGAATATGATATATTTATTTATCATATTAAGAGATACAAAAAATTCAATTCTGACCAAAAAGTGCACCATTAAGTTGAATCACCAGCCTGAAGTGATACCGATATGATAATACACTTCGACTTTTTTGACCAAAAATGCCTCCAGAAAATCGTAAATTAGCTGACTAAGCTAATGCTATTGACGCAATGCCATTTTCAATCATACAAACTGTATCTCACTTTTTAGGTTGGGGCATTTCTAATACTTTAAAAATACATGTATATTTATGGTCTGTAGCAGAAGTTATTTTACATTATTGCGAATAACTGGGTTTCATTTTTGGACATTTTAGCAGTTATATCTCACTTTGATAATGAAAAACACAGAAAACTGTCAAATTAAAAGCCCATTTATTTTTAGTCTGTAGCACATAGCATTAAGAATATGGCTAAAATAAAATAATCTTATTGTAAATGTTCCTATATACTCTAGATGTAGCCTTTAGACCATATATAGATGGACAATGTAAACCCATTCACTCAATGAAGCCCAAAAGGGAGGTGTTCATGAAATGAGTTTTGCTCCGGTTCGCTCTGGTTCTTATATTGAAAAGTAAAGATCTCCAGCCCAGTTATTGTTAGTGTCACACAAAAAAACAAAACATTGACATACTTTTTGTAAAACCAGATATGAGCCTTATAAGGATTGACCAATCAAATGGCCTTCATTCCTGGAGGAAACTCCAGCTTGCCTTAGCAAACCTAAACAACAAAACTGCCCGTGTTATGGTACGAACAAATGCTCATATAAGGAAATTGGCTCCAGCTACCTTTGTTGTGGCACACAGTCAGTCCTAATATACGGCCTATGGCTTTAGAATTCCATTTAAAAAACAAAATAGTTAATTCATGTGTTCAAACATTGTCTTTTCCACTGACTGCTATGCACCACCGACCATAATGTATTTCCATTTTCTCTCAGGTAAACTCATACATAAGAAATAGTGCTATCAAATGTCTTAAGTCTATCTGCAATCCTCACCTTGTCACTTTCGCCTCATGTTTCCCAAATGCTGTGTGAACTAAGCCATAAGATCCGACGCAATTCAAATGGGGCTGATAGAAAATGAATAATAGATACTTCTATTTATGTAGCCTCGCCGAGATTTTCTGTTTTCATCAAATGTGTCAACTACAGATGCTGATGTTTTTGCAATAAAAATGCAGTAGCAGAAGAATCAACATGATGTGGTTGGATTTGTTGTTCTTATTTTATGTATTTTTTTTTTAATGGTGCTTATTTCAACATGAGGTTCTATTGATTAGACAACTGTTTTAATTACAATCCCTATTACATTGGCTGTATGCTGGATTTTTATTTTCTTATTCAATGGTTATTTGGTAGATTTACATTTTGAAAATACTACATGAGAGACTCCCAGAATAGCAATAGACTTTGTTTTGACTTATTGCAGGTACGACTTTTGATGGTCACTTTTGAGAGTCATGGGGTCCTCTTAAAATATTAACAGTAAAATAATATGGACTAAGCCAACACTATCACTGTCACCAACTGATTGAAAAGGTATTAGAACATACTGTATATGATGAAAAAAGCAATAGCCAAAAACATCATAAATTCACTTTTCATTATTAGAGTAATAATTTATTGAAGGGATCTGGACCTCACAGAGCTCAATTTAATTGATGGTCATGATCCATTCATCCATTCATTTTCTTCCCTTTAATCCATTTCGTGGTCGGAGCTGCACCCAATTCACAGAGCACCAGCCCCTCACCGATCCTGCTGCTGGTGGCGAGTCCACAGGAGGATGTCTGCTACTCTGCTCTGTCAGTGAGAGCACAGCCTTGATCTTTCACTGTCACACCGCTTACGGTTATGATCATAGTAGAACGCTTTTCAATGTGTGTTGTTCTTGAAGGTCAAACCAACCTGTTGTTTTTTTGCAGCTGCCAACTTGCACAATTGGCACCAGTATGGTAGTGCTTTTCAGAAGTCATTCTCTTGTAAATGGAAAGTTTAATGACAAACTGTAAAAGAACATTTAGATGAACCAGAGCAAAAGCAGACCTGCCACCGGGACAGTTGAGTAATGCACCTTTAAGCTCTGTTTTAATACAATAGTTAGTACAAAACAACAAAAATAGTTTTCTCAAACTTTAAGTATACATTATACATTATTAAGTGTATTTCTTTTACAGAGGTCATAGGTAACTTTATATTTTTGAGGTTTCCTTGGACATCGCAGAGAAAACACTCTGGTTACATAACTAAAGCCCGGTAGTTCTCGTGCATGGCTCTTGGGTGACTTTTGGGGCGGCCGGGTGCCCTCCAGACGGCACATAAGGCAGGCTGTGTGTGCCGGTGGGTCAAAGGGACTATTGTGAGGACTTGGCCGAGGTACCTCTGAGGCGGCTGTGTGCTGCAGACATATAGTAGTGGTCTGTCACTGAATATGAATACATGATTACAGTGCACACAGAGCAGGGGAGGGGCGGGTCCAGGGGAAATACCACTGAGAACCAACTTCTCCTGTAAGAGTGATGTTTTTGTAGGATGTTTTTAGATTTTCCTAAAAG